GTCAGATATCACCTTTTCATGTCAAAATTATTTTTTCCTAAATATTTTGACTGAAAAATTCCACAATCCTTTTTTCCATCTCCATGCAAATAGTCTTGCCACAGACACCAATAGAACGTACAAAAATCCAGTATCATCTGTATTACAATTCACATCAAAGTACATCCCCCCAACTAATGTTTATAGAACCAACACAATACTAGCAGTTCTGTAAAAACACCAGACACATATGTATTAAAGCCCCCATCTCCAGGCCTACATATATAAATGTGCTCCCTGAGTCTGATTTTATTTCCTCCATGACAGTTTTATGACCATGTAGAGGATTTGTTGGCCGTGCTACTCAGGGTAGTAGAGTAGATGTCGACCTTATTGGCCAATATTCACCTCTATATCATCATTAAAACGCTACAAAACCTCCCTGTTTTACATATTTTATTCACTGATCTACAAATAACATTTTATTATAATTGTACAGATGTTACAAGTGTTCGTTAATAATATTGAAAAAGTACAAATTTTACCTCTTATAATAATTTATTTTACAAATACCACAAATAAATTTTAACTTTGTTCAGTTGATGGTATTGAGTGTTACAAGATGGCTTGACTCAGTCATCTTAACATATCATTTATCCATATCTTTTAACTGTATTTTATAACTTAAGGGTATAAGCTACCTAATATGTTATGCATATAATTCATATTAGAGTTAATTCCCTTGAAATATACCTGTTTTCTCAACCCTGTCATGAGAAATTTGAAATTCAATTCAAGCAAGCATCCTTTTTCATTTCTCTATGTTTTCATTAATCAATAATGTACAATATTTCAGTATTAGTATATTGTTTTACTATGATACCTTAAGGCAAATTATCCTTTTTCTTTTTTTAATTTTTTTGCATTATGGAATTGTTTCTAATATTTCTGAATTCTTCTTTATTCATAATTATTTAAAATCCAATTCGTCCATGAGAAAAATAAAGAGTTTAGCTTTATATCATCATGAGTCATGAAAGCTGAAACTTGCACAGTCAATCTTCCTCGTTCCAATATTATGGTGAACTCACCCCACCCAAACCCACCCCCTACCCCTCTCCATGGTAAAGTGAAGCTGTTTTATATTTTGTTTTCAATTGATGTTTCTTTGCTTCATTCTTTATCAGATGACTTAATTATGTTCCTCCATACATAACAAAATAACAATAAGATGTTTAAATGTATGACCTCGTCTCACTAAGAAGGGTTAGAGTGATAATATATAACATCTTTTTTAAATATTCAAAAGCTAAGATTTTTTACTGAAATCAAGAATACACATACAATGTAGGATCTTTTATGATTTCATGAAAATCTTACACGTTTTTTTTCCTGCAGGCCTTGTTGAGTCAAAGTAGAAATCTCAAGATAAGTTTTTAAAATTTGGTTAGTTTAGGGAGAACTTGGGATAGTTTAAGTAGAACATAATCTGTTTAGGAAGAACCTGGTTGGTTGAAGAAGTTGGTAGGTTTTAAGGAAAACATAGTTGTTTCAAGGAGAACTTTGTTGGTTTAGGGAGAACGTGGTTGGCTTCAGGAGAACTTGGTTGGTTTAAAGAGAACTTGGTTGGCTTAAAGAGAACGTGGTTGGCTTCAGGAGAACTTGGTTGGTTTAAAGAGAACGTGGTTGGCTTCAGGAGGCTTCAGGAGAACGTGGTTGGCTTCAGGAGAACGTGGTTGGCTTCAGGAGAACTTGATTGGTTTAAAGAGAACGTGGTTGGCTTCAGGAGAACTTGGTTGGTTTAAAGAGAATGTGGTTGGCTTCAGGAGAACGTGGTTGGCTTCAGGAGAACTTGGTTGGTTTAAAGAGAACGTGGTTGGCTTCAGGAGAACTTGGTTGGTTTAAGGAGAACTTGGTGGTTATAAGAAAAACTTGGTGGTTATAAGAAAAACTTGGGTCTTTTTGAGGATTTGGTCACTTTAAGGAGAACTTGGTGGTTATAAGAAAACTTGGTTGGTTTCTGTTTTAATTAAACGTCAAACTTGGAATGAGTGGTTTTAGTTTACAGTGATTAGCAATGGAAATAAAACATGTATGTAACTCAGGGAGTATTACCTTGTCCAGGTAAAGACAATCCATCGTTTGTAGACTGAGTCACACATCTCCATTTGAGTATGCAAGTCCTGAAAAAGAAAAAAATAGCAATGCACATCTTCATATGAAATGCAAATATTTCCCTATACTTACTTCTGTAAAAACAAAAACAATAAAATAAATTTTGTTTCTCACCTTTTTTCACATAAAATTTGGATATCAGATACCATTTTATTGCTGTGAAATACTTTTTAGGTTTTATTTCTGTGTTAAAAGTGTAATCACTGTTTAATCAAAACATCTTGAATCACAAGTACATCGTTTTATATGCAGATATGTAAATGTCGTGAGAATTGTTTGGTATAATATAAACATTACAACACCTCGGCATGAATATAGATACAAAAAGTATATTAGATGGTATAACTGAAAGACGTAATGTGATCACCTGTTACATGTTATTTCCTTCTACAAATATTTCTTGAAATATTTCCAAATTAAATATTTAAATTTTGTGAATCCCAAATCATACAGATTTTTTAAAAACTGTTCTTATGGTAATTTATCTGAGAGATGATTTTGTACCAAGTCTTTAGGCCTCTACATCAGCTGATAATTATCAACATTACAAACTTTTATCAAATAACAAAATCTAACTGAACATTTTTCAGTCAATTCTGCTTTATGAAAGTATTAAACATGGAGTCACATTTGTATCAGGATGAATTTCAGAAGTGCTTAATTAAAAGAAGATTATCAGGACATTTGATGTTGTTGCTGAACAGGTTTTTGTGATAAGAATGAAGGGTACGTGTTACCTTCAAATACTTGTGATTTAATTGTGTTAGAGTTAAGGTTATATGCTACCTTACACATTATACCTGTGATTTGTGTCAGAGTTAAGGTTATATGCTACCTTACACATTATACCTGTGATTTGTGTCAGAGTTAAGGTAACATGCTACCTTACACATTATACCTGTGATCTGTGTTAGAGTTAAGGTAATATGCTACCTTACACATTATACCTGTGATTTGTATCAGAGTTAAGGTAACATGCTACCTTACACATTATACCTGTGATTTGCATTAAATAATTTCCCAGTTTGATCTTGAATTACAGTCCCTAACCATTTTCTTACTTTCCCTGCAATAAACCTCAGAATTTCATAGATATCACCCCACTCAAGATAAAGAATGGTAACCTTCACAGAGATTTCTGGGGTGTGATTCCCCAAATTGATATGAAAACGTTCTGGATTATCTGTTAATCCAGGTGGCTATGGTTTCCTCCCACAGTAAGACTCCTCATGCACCTCCATTTGGTCCAACAAAATGATTAATAAAAGTTAATGTATCTATTGTGCAATTTATATCTAAAACAAATATACCTGCCAGCCTCCTTGAATTTCAATCACTCCAAAAAAGGTACAATGCACAACTAGGGACCAAGGGGAATCTGCATATGAAATCTGAGAAAGATCCATCCAGTACTTTTCCAGAAATAGCGATAACAAGAATTGTTTGCGGACAAACGGACGGATGAACATACGGACGGACCACGGACGCAGGGCAGGATGATGGTGGGCTAAAAAGTGTTCACACTGACAGACTCACAAGTATGCAACACCAAAAGCTATAATTGTTTAAGCTACGTCCTAACTTTATCATCAGTACAGTATATTCCAGGTTATAAGCTAAGCCGCAGAGCCAATTTTTAACCAATTTTTTTAACTGATCCACATAGGGCATCGGAGTATAGGCCGCACCTGTTCTTATGATGTGATAACTGTTTACCGAAGTTTGTTAATATAACAGACAACAGAAAGCAATTGATCACGATCATCAGCGAAACAGTTAATATAAGTTTGCGAATGAATTATACATAGATAGTTTTTATTTTATTGACGTGTATAATAGCAACTTGTTTGGCTTGGGAGCTTTCAAAGTCTGTCTACCCAGATATATAGCCTTAGGTTACGTACGGTTTCCTTAACAATATCTCCATCATCGGTGTCTATACTGTTAAATATTAGTGAAGGCCAATGCATGCTGACAAAATTCTTATAGTCCCATATTATTTCTTAACCAAGCATGGCGGTCATTCTACAATTTGACCTAATGACCTATCAATCCCAGGATGCAACATGCTTTTTTAAACTTCCGCTATGGCTTCCAAAGCAACCATGTAAGTTCAGAAGATATTATTGTGATTCAAATCAAAAGGTATGATTAATTAAATCCCTGAGAATGTTATTTCTATTTCAATCTTAAAATCATCCTGTATGTGGATGCAAATGACGGTTTTAGAATCTGTTTCAGTCACAAACACATGATGGACAGGTACTTGTAGAAAACTGGGTACCAACGTCTCGTACTAGTGTACTAGTATGCTGGTTTTAAATAACTTCTTTTTTTATTCTTCCTGAAAGCATGACATGTTATAGCAACCAAAATTGTCAGGGTGTGAGGTCATGCAGGTCAATAATGCATGTGATACGCCCGGCCTTTTTTCCTCCATTTTGGGAAAACGCCACATGGAAATTTGGGGAATTTTGTTTCGCGAAATTTACGAAATTTGGGAAAATATGCCAGCATTCAAAATGTTAGAATTCCCTTAAAAATAAAGCTGAGTGAATCTTATTTAAACTATTGCATTTTGTTATATTTTATATTAAAGTTACAGACAGACCATACAGTGTATAAATGTCAGTGAAACATGGAAATCTTCAGTACAAGTTACATTGAGAATATAACTTTATTCATGTAAGGCAAGTCAAATAGTTTAACAGTCTAAACTGGGTTTTATTCATGATACAACCTTGAATTCTTCAGTACAACAATCAAAGTAAGTCAAATAGTCCAACAGACTAAAACTAGTTTTATTCACAAAAATAATAAAATAAAACAATAAAACATATCATATATCAAGACTGGACATTCTGAGTATCAGGGGGGTCACTTATGGCCGCAGTCTGGATAGTAGGAGTACCAGGGGGCTCACTTGTGGTAGTCTGGACAGTTGGAGTACCAGGGGGCTCACTTGTGGTAGTCTGGATAGTAGGAGTACCAGGGGGCTCACTTGTGGTAGTCTGGACAGTTGGAGTACCAGGGGGTCACTTATGGCTGCAGTCTGGATAGTAGGAGTACCAGGGGGCTCACTTGTGGTAGTCTGGACAGTTGGAGTACCAGGGGGCTCACTTGTGGTAGTCTGGATAGTAGGAGTACCAGGGGGCTCACTTGTGGTAGTCTGGACAGTTGGAGTACCAGGGGGTCACTTATGGCTGCAGTCTGGATAGTAGGAGTACCAGGGGGCTCACTTGTGGTAGTCTGGATAGTAGGAGTACCAGGGGGCTCACTTGTGGTAGTCTGGACAGTTGGAGTACCAGGGGGCTCACTTATGGTAGTCTGGATAGGAGTACCAGGGGGCTCACTAATGGTAGTCTGGATAGTAGGAGTACCAGGGGGCTCACTTGTGGTAGTCTGGATAGTAGGAGTACCAGGGGGCTCACTTGTGGTAGTCTGGGTAGTAGGAGTACCAGGGGGCTCACTAATGGTAGTCTGGATAGTAGGAGTACCAGGGGGCTCACTTGTGGTAGTCTGGATTGTAGGAGTACCAGGGGGCTCACTGATGGTAGTCTGGATAGTAGGAGTACCAGGGGGCTCACTTGTGGTAGTCTGGATAGTAGGAGTACCAGGGGGCTCACTAATGGTAGTCTGGATAGAAGGAGTACCAGGGGTCTCACTTATGGTAGTCTGGACAGTTGAAGCATCATTATTGAGATTGGAATCACAGACAAAAATTGGGGTGTCAGTTGGTGTGATGTCGCTTACATTTACCGCCGAACTATGCGGGTCTTCCAGGGTTGGTGTCTGAGAGGCAGCCCCAAACATGGTTCTAATTGACTTGCATTTTTCAGCATCCTTTTTCTGAATTTTCGCACAGTAATATTTGCTGTTATGTGACATTCTGTTGTCAGAGACGCCAGGCGAAAACACATGATAGCGAAGAAATCAAAAGGTATTCGAAACTACCGCACCGCCATTACGCAGCACCAAATACAAAATTGCGGTAGAGTCTTAATCGCTTTATCGTAATTTTGTCTCGCCTCGGAATGTTCAAACCTAGACTGCCCCTAATATCGCAAACAATTGATGACAAATTACGATTATTTTCATTTACCTGTCGAACACATGATCAAAATTGGTCATCAGCCAGTTTGTTAACTAAACGCTGATTGGCTGAACGTATCGAAGGCTGTGATTGAAAGAATGTAAATAGAATGGGCGGAGTCTTCGGCCTGCACAGTATAGCGATATATTTATATAGTGATCAAGGTGTTACACTGTTTATTTGTAAACATACCTGGTACTCTTTGGACAAGGTTGCTAGATTCATGTCGGCATTTTGTGTGGATTCGTATCCGACTTTCCTCGGATGCTTGAAGTTGCAGAATCACCTTCACTTTTAGTTTGTAACTTTAATTAACTAATCAACAGTTTTATCCCATGTATGAAAATTCCTGTTGTAATTAAAAAACCGACCTCAGAATTGGGAATATTTTTTTTCAGATTGGGAAAGAAACACCCAAATTTGGATTAGGAATGGGGCCGATATTCTGACCCGTGGGAGAGGGGAAATAAGGCCTGTAAGTCTCAACAAAATGGCTGTGAACCGATGTCCAGACAATACGCTTCTTTTTATTCTGCCAAATTTTTTTTCGTCCACATTAAGCCACACCAGTATATTAGCTGTATGCCCCACTGCTGACAGTAAAACTACAGCTTATAATCCAGAAAATATAGTATACAGAGTTCTTACTCTGGACTTATCTGCTAGAGGTTGAAAGTACTCACTGCAATGTAACTACCAAATGGATGCAAAAAAGTAGGGGGTCTCCCCAGGTACTCAAGTTTCCTCCAACATCAAAACTCCTCATGCTTACCCAGGTAAATCCCAACCAACAAGTGGGATTAATAACAGTTGGAAATTCTTGTTTTACAATTATTGTAAAATAAATAAGGTTTGATTAAATTAAGTCTTCTTCCACAAGTTCTTAATATACCAAGATAATTAATGAAGTTAAACATATGTAAGATCTTTTCATAAAGGACGAAAATATTCATGACTGAAAATTGATGGCCCTGAGATTCATCACTGAAACACTCATATGTCTTTGTTAAGGTAATCTTTGAATTTATACCTGGAAGCTTATACAGGGACAGCGGAAACAGAGTTATGGTGTTTCATGATATAAAATTCCTGATAAAAATTATAGAAAATTAAGATGCATGAAAATGAAAATACAAGCTGACTCTTGTTCCGACAGTTGACATTTATGAATGTATAAATAAAAATATCAGGGAACAAAAACAAGATTAAGTCTGCTAGTGAGTCTGGATTTATTGTCCTCCAGAGATAGACGAGTTCTGTTGATTACATTTTACCATTTTTGATAACAAATATATTTTCATCCCCATGGGTGTACTAAATATCAGCTAACTTGGTTGTAGGATGCGTTCATTTGATGTCCGAATGATAATTTCCATGATTTACTGTATAATGAAATAAACAAGCAACCCAACAGCTGGGCGGAAAGACAAGTGTACTACACGTCCTACATACTCAGTCAACAAGTGTACTACACGTCCTACATACTCAGTCATACATTCTCAGGATCAAATGTAAAGACAAGTGTACTACACGTCCTACATACTCAGTCATACATTCTCAGGATCAAATGTAAAGACAAGTGTACTACACGTCCTACATACTCAGTCATACATTCTCAGGATCAAATGTAAAGACAAGTGTACTACACGTCCTACATACTCAGTCATACATTCTCAGGATCAAATGTAAAGACAAGTGTACTACACGTCCTACATACTCAGTCATACATTCTCAGGATCAAATGTAAAGACAAGTGTACTACACGTCCTACATACTCAGTCAAACATTCTCAGGATCAAATGTAAAGACAAGTGTACTACACGTCCTACATACTCAGTCATACATTCTCAGGATCAAATGTAAAGTCTCTTTAAACGTTAAAAAAGAGAAACAATAAAGGTTCAAAAAAGATCCATCCATCTTCAATGGTTTTTAAGCAAGTGTTTTTCTGATTTGATTTACACTCAAATGTGTTCCAGAAAATTGATGATTATAGCAACACTTGTGTGTTTAAGGAAGTTATAAACATTCCTTTACAGAAGTTTATTTAGGGTTAAAAACCACAAAGCAAGTTTCCCTTAGGGTTGGGAGAAAGGACAAATAAGATTTGGTGTTTACACCTATTTTTCAAGTATAGCCAGTTTTTGCATAAACAAATGAAGAAAAAATTCTTTAATAAAAACAAAGGAAAAAAATATCACATCAACACTTAATCTTTTAGAACTGTTATGAGAGTATGAGAGAAGTAATAGCAAAACTCTGAAATAATGACCAAATCACTACTGTTAGTTGTAACAAGTCCATCTCCCTACTGTTAGTTGTAACAAGTCCATCTCCCTACTGTTAGTTGTAACAAGTCCATCTCCCTACTGTTAGTTGTAATCAGTCCATCTCCCTACTGTAAGTTGTAACAAGTCCATCTCCCTACTGTTAGTTGTAACAAGTCCATCTCCCTACTGTAAGTTGTAATAAGTCCATCTCCCTACTGTTAGTTGTAATAAGTCCATCTCCCTACTGTTAGTTGTAACAAGTCCATCTCCCTACTGTTAGTTGTAACAAGTCCATCTCCCTACTGTTAGTTGTAACAAGTCCATCTCCCTAGTGTTAGTTGTAATAAGTCCATCTCCCTACTGTTAGTTGTAACAAGTCCATCTCCCTAGTGTTAGTTGTAACAAGTCCATCTCCCTACTGTTAGTTGTAACAAGTCCATCTCCCTACTGTTAGTTGTAACAAGTCCATCTCCCTACTGTTAGTTGTAACAAGTCCATCTCCCTACTGTTAGTTGTAATAAGTCCATCTCCCTACTGTTAGTTCTAATAAGTCTATCTCCCAACTGTAAGTTGTAATAAGTCCATCTCCCTACTGTAAGTTGTAATAAGTCCATCTCCCTACTGTAAGTTGTAATAAGTCCATCTCCCTACTGTAAGTTGTAATAAGTCCATCTCCCTACTGTTAGTTGTAATAAGTCCATCTCCCTACTGTTAGTTGTAATAAGTCCATCTCCCTACTGTTAGTTGTAATAAGTCCATCTCCCTACTGTTAGTTGTAACAAGTCCATCTCCCTACTGTTAGTTGTAACAAGTCCATCTCCCTACTGTTAGTTGTAATAAGTCCATCTCCCTACTGTTAGTTCTCCCTACTGTTAGTTGTAATAAGTCCATCTCCCTACTGTAAGTTGTTATAAGTCCATCTCCCTACTGTAAGTTGTTATAAGTCCATCTCCCTACTGTAAGTTGTAATAAGTCCATCTCCCTACTGTAAGTTGTAATCAGTCCATCTCCCTACTGTAAGTTGTAATAAGTCCATCTCCCTACTGTAAGTTGTAATAAGTCCATCTCCCTACTGTTAGTTCTAATAAGTCTATCTCCCAACTGTAAGTTGTTATAAGTCCATCTCCCTACTGTAAGTTGTAACAAGTCCATCTCCCTACTGTAAGTTGTAATAAGTCCATCTCCCTACTGTAAGTTGTAATAAGTCCATCTCCCAACTGTAAGTTGTAATAAGTCCATCTCCCTACTGTTAGTTGTAATAAGTCCATCTCCCTACTGTAAGTTGTAATAAGTCCATCTCCCTACTGTTAGTTGTAATAAGTCCATCTCCCTACTGTAAGTTGTAATAAGTCCATCTCCCTACTGTTAGTTGTAATAAGTCCATCTCCCTACTGTAAGTTGTAATAAGTTCATCTCCCTACTGTAAGTTGTAATAAGTCCATCTCCCTACTGTTAGTTGTAATAAGTCCATCTCCCTACTGTAAGTTGTAATAAGTCCATCTCCCAACTGTAAGTTGTAATAAGTCCATCTCCCTACTGTTAGTTGTAATTTGAGGTTTTTTAATGTAAAACCAATTTTCATGATGTAATACTTACCATAACTTTAGTATGCAAATACAGTACCTACACCCATCTTTGTATCCCAACAACAAAAGATTCAAAAGAAAAACAATCCCGCCCTCCCTACGATCCATGAGCCATCACGGCAGGAACGCAGAGTGATCTCCCTTCCTCTAATAACCTTTATGGCGTAAACCCCACAGAGGGGTAGCCAGGCAGATAAGGAAGAGGGGAGGATAGGGTGGGACTCCATAAAGTTATGGTAAGTATTACATCATGAAAATTGGTTTTACATTAAAAAACCTCAATTTCATTTCAGTAATAATTACCATAACTTAAGTATGCGAATTCGTCTTACCGTAGTGGTGACTAGAAGCCAGGCAGCCCCTTCAGCACAACCAAAGTAGTAGGGAGGGAGAACAGAGTGCTAAAGTGAAGGAAGGGACCTCTCTGTGAAAGAGCAGGTGTACCCACATGCCGCCGTACGGAAAGACATGGCCCGGGGCTAACGAGGAGGCCCAGCCACTGACTATGCCACCACCAAAGGTCCCAATGAATACAGGCCTTCTGAGTGGGAAGCTAGGGATCACAGATAAAAATCTGTGAAGGTATCCCTGCCCTGCCAGAATACTGCAGACATGACCTCCTGAAAGGAGGACTCATTGAGAGAAGGGCCCAGGATGAAGCAAGGGCCCTGACCTCGTGAGACCGCGCTTTCGCTCTCGCCCGAGCCAGATCATCAAAATGCTCGTAAGCATACTAAATCACCTGGCAAACCCACCTGGAAACCGACTGGGAGGAGATATCTCGTTGTCCCTGTTTAATGGGCAAAACAGACAGGATCGAGAGCCCCGCCCCCCCCTGGTTTTATCAAGATAAAACCTAAGAGCCCGACAAAGACAAAGCAACCTATCTCGCTCCTCCGAGCTAGTCACAGCCAGGATCCTGATGGGATCGTGCGAGAA